TTCATTTTGTTGTCCTGGTAACACAGTGGCAGGAAGACCATTTTATAGGTTAAAAATCTGCTGACATGATCTACATAATCAAGATCATTTTACTTCAAAGTATAGAATCTGCCTCTCTCTCTGGTCATTATTAAGATGTGTCTGTATTTCTTAAGTCACAGTTGAAGTAGCTCAGGGTTGAATTCGTAAAGCCTATATTCTACTGCACAGACCTTCAGTCCTATAATATTTGTTTTAATGTCACGTGTAAATAATGTAGATTTAAAATTCAATAGTGATATGCAGTTTAGCTCTTGGATTAACATGCTGGTCTCATGTGCTGATAGCCATGCAGTCAAAGCCTAATAGTGTAAGTATTTTATATTGCTCACTGTCATCATCACATAATCATTGTCGCTGTCAGCATGATGATGATGGCAGCAGAAATGATGATTGCATGATAAGGTTATTAAGGCCTTTTCCTATGGATCCCCAGCTGATCTTGGTCTTCCTGTGTTGTCATTGTTCCCAGTGGTAGAAGCAGAATACTGTGGCATGTAGGCCCATTGCCGGGCAACAACTGTGAGATAAGCAAGATAGAACAGCCATTACTGAGTAATGGCTTTGCAAACAGACATGTTCCCATGGCAGCAATTGAACTATAGCAATGGTCTGTGCTAAGATGTGCGCATGACAAATAACAGATTCTAGATCAGATGATTGGATTTATTGGTACTTCACTTCTCCCATAATTAGAATCAGCACAGCTCTATCACTGATTTACACACTTCACAATTTACTATTACACATGCATTAGGATTCTCAGTCTTCGCTAGTCGCCTCCTGATAATGGAATTAAAACAGTTTCACTGTAACTAAATTTTCTAATCACACAAAGTTTTCACGGGCCGAATTCTAATTATTCTTCAACCACAGACTTTCTGTGGCTATCTCCTACTGATGACTAAGCTGAATTCTTTGGTTGTGACTTTGTACTAATCTGTACTCAACTGTTCTTACTGCTTGCTTGCTCTACTTCTCCTGCTTACTGCTGTACTCCTGCTGCTTACTACTGCAGCTTATGAATTCTGCTCACTTGTATTGCCGCGGCGTGGACATGCAGCTCAGAAAACATGTCATGTGATCACTATCCAGCCAGTCCATTGGCATGCTGGCTGGACTTAGAGAAAACACATGTCACATGATCGATAAGCACTGTTGTGTGAAATCACCATGGACACAAAGAAAACACTGCTCCTGTATTGTTGGCATGTGTGTGTTGGAAGTGCTGTATGGCAATGGATTTACATGTCACAATATTGTAGTGTGTTCAAAAAGTATCGAGCATTCTTTTTTCGTGCTTAAACCAATGAAGCGCGGGAGGCTCTCTTCGGTGGAGATGTGGAGGGGACATTCATGAGCAGTCGTGAATTTTTTTCCGCCCACAGAAAACGTCAGTCACTGGCAGTTGGCCTATGAGTGAGGACGTGTAGTGAGCGCTCGTTGGATTCCAGTAAGGTGTAAAATGACGGAACAACATGAGCAGCGATATTGCATCAAATTTTGCCAAAAGCCTGGCAATACCCAAGTGGAAACCACTTGCAAGATTCAACAGGCTTTTGGGGACGATGCCATGAACAACTCACGGCTATAGGAGTGGTACAGGCCGCACATCAGTGGACAGTGAACCGTGTTCAGGCAGACCCTCCACAAGCTGAAATGAGAATGTCATTGAGCAAGTGCGGACTTTGGTCATGGAGGACCGTTGTATCACAGTCCGAGAACTTGCAAACGAGATAGGGGTGAGCATTGGATCGGTAAATTCAATTTTGACCAAGGATTTGGGCATGAGGAGAGTGTCCGCGAAATTTGTACTGAAACTGTGCATCTGATTCAGACTTTCGTCGCCAAATACAACATCCCTGTGGTTCGTCAGGCTCCCTACTTCCCCGACATGGCTCCGTGTAACTTTTGGATATTTCCTAAGCTGAAAATGCCGCTGAAAGGAACCCAATTTGAGTCAAGAGAAGACATCATGCGGAATGCAACAGCCCGGCTGATCACCATTGCAAAAGACATGTTCCAGAAGTGTTTCCGACAATGGCGGAAGCGCTGGGAGAAATGTGTGCATTACCAAGGAGACTACTTTGAAGGGGATTAGGGTTTTGTACCTCCAAATCAATAAATGTATTTCTGGCTACCAAAGGTTCGATACTTTTTGAACACACTACGTAGACCCATTGCTGGGCAGTGACTGTTAGATAAGCTATATACAACAGCCGTTACTGAGTAATGGTGTTGCAAACATATTTCCATGGCAACAGTTGAACTACAAAAATGAGGAATGATGTTTTCTTTGTGGTCTGTGTGAAGATATTATAAGCGGGACAAGTTGGGAGCTGCAGTTAGTCAGTTGAGTTGAGTGAGGAGAAGAGTATTTGATGGGAGAGTGAGTGAGTGAGTCAGTCAGTCCAAAATTATTGTAGCTGAGGCTGGGGACAGCCCAGGAATTCAGAGTAAAGGGGACATCCATCATCAAAGCCGCTACTGAGCAACAGCTGAGGAAGGCTGAGAATACTTTATGTGCATTAGATTGATTTTGGAATGTGTAACTCAGACTGTCTTTATTTGTAGTTACATTCTGTAAGTTTTTAATTGATTACCATTCCAAACCCCATCTGTGGCCACTCAAACAAATGACAGTAATTGTAGACTGCAGATTCTTTCCATCCTTTCCAGTTTTGCTGGTATTCTTACATCTCTTCACGTATATTGTAACTTTCTCTTGTGTTCAATTTCATTGATGGTCTAGTCTAGTGAAACCTCACAGCCAAAACACAATGCATTCATGCTTCATCTAATTTCTGGGATTGTTCGGTTTATAATCCACGTTGCACTATTTAGGTAAGTGTTGCTTTTGATATGAAGTTATGTAGACAAAATTTTATATCAATTGATATTATGTGCTGAAACTTATTTTCAGTATACTATTTATTTTGTAATTCCAGGAACAAGAAACTAAAAATATTAAACTTAACAAAAGTAATCCCATAAAAATATTATGAAAGTAATTTGCATTGCATTACTTTTAATACAGTTAATACTTTAAAGTACAAAAATGGAGTTAGAATAGAAATTGTAACTCTTATGAAAATAACTGTTGCAGTATTTGGTTTTGTTGGTAGTCATGTGTTTCTCACTCCTGCACTATGGCATCTATGCATTCCTTAGTCATGTGTTATGTCTGACAGAGAGGGGGTGTGTGTGAAGTCAGCTCCTGGACATGAATTAGAGTCACATGAATCATGGTTGTCCTGTCGCCATGTAATCCAGTCTAAGTGCATTAACATTCTTCTGTCACATTTTATAAATACAAATTTGAACCTCTGCAATGAATGCTGCCAAGAAGAAAAAGTGTCCAATCAAGATCATGTGTTTTGAATAAGGGAACTGATAAGTACTTCTTTGTTTGTGTTAGGGACATTGCTGTTTTTCTCATTTGCAAAGGGAAAATCTCATATTTTGAAGAATGCAATATTAATAGGTACTATGAGACAAGCCACATTTTATGATTAAGCAGCTTATGAGATGAGTGAAGAATAGACAAAGTAAAGAAGCTTCAAAAGTGTCTTGTTTAACAACAGAATTTTTTCAAAAGTGCAGCATTGCAGTAAAATATTGCAGTCTATGCTAATTATGTAGTTTATGAAATTTTAGCCAAAAAATGAAACTCTTCAGTGACAGGTAAATGGTAGAAGAATGCTTGAGAGCAGTTGCAAATATCACATTTCATTATAAAAAGGATATAATTTCTAAAATTAGTTTCTCATGATTCACCATTGTCAGAGGAGAAGCATCATTGAGGAAAAGTTAAAATAGAATGTTCAGTGGCCTTCTGTGGTACAGGTTGAAGGTACAGATGTTAGTAATACATTGCGACTTGCTATTTTTGTTTGAGGAATAGACTGAATTAAATATGACTGAGGAATTAGCTCTTCTAATTACTATAAAAAGGATAACTAAAAGTGAAGATTTGCAAGGTGAAATCCAGAAAATGCTGCAGAAGTTGAATATTCCATTTTAGAAATTAGATGGAGTTATAATGGATGGGGCATCATCTATGGCCGAAGAGAACAGTATCTTGTCTTCGCATATTACCATTAATGTGAAAAATACAGCAGGCTACAATTTGTTTATGTACCATTGCTTGATACATCTAAAGAATCTATGTGACATCCATAAAAATGTTTTAATGTTGTTACACTTTCGCAAAACTCATTAACTTTATTAAATAAAGCCATGCCATACCTCAAGCGGTTTTTCACTGGCTTCCCACTGTGGCGGCCTGGGTCTGGTCAAGTGGGATTTGTTGTGGACAAAGTGGCGCTGGGGCAGGTTTTCTCTGAGTACTTCAGTTTCCCCTGCCAATCTTCATTCCACCAATTGCTCCACAGTCACCCTCACCTATCATCTGGGGCTGGTACAATAGGCCAGAAGTGGCCACAGTACAAGGGACTTAGTCCCACCCCACTAGCAATAAAGAAAAACTTTATTAAATCAATACGACTGAACCATTGCCAATTTATTTTTTTTATGTGGCTTCTGGGATTGGAGATGTACTATGGTACACAGAGTTGCCTGCATGTTCCTGTTTCTCTGATAAGTTGCTAAAAAGCATTGCCATTTATATTTTTCTGTTCAGTATAGTGGGTAGTCTAAGTTGCAAGAATATGCATTTTTTTCCCCATGGGACCCAATAAAGTAATGTGGCAATGAAAGTATTTCTGTTATTTCAAATGCAGCCATTAAACATGTTTGTATCCTGAATTAGTGCTAGTACAAAAAAGGTTGCTGAACATTTCTTTAAAGGGTTAGAACAGCGTAGCCTTGACATATTTTTGCTTTAGAATTGTTGCTTTTAGTACTGAAATTGTCTGATGACATTTCATATTTTGTGTGAACATTTTCTGTGACTGCTGTTTTCACATATTGTTTTAAATGCATGAACATGTGTGATACAGGCATCATTAGAAGTTCGTCAAGCAGGCCGTCGTACTTTGAGCACACTGTCTGGTGGCACGATGGGAGGCTCTTCACTGACTATCCTTCACTACAATGATGTATATAATATTGAGTCAAGAGTTATGGAGCCAGTTGGAGGGGCTGCACGTTTCTGTACAGCAATAAAATCGTTCTCACATCTTAACCCTCTGGTTCTCTTCAGTGGAGACATCTTTTCACCAAGCATATGTGAGTAATATGTTAGGAAAACTTTGTAGAAGAGGACCGTTTTTATAAACATACACTTTGAAATGTATGTTTTGCATTTTATTAGTCTCATGGTCACCTTGAATAAGGGTCAAGATAACTCAGTCAGTGTAGTAACAGGCTACAGGCTGGATGGCCAAAGAATTAGGGTTAAATTCGAAGTTGGGGCAAGGATTTTTTCCCTTCTCCACAGTGTCCCACTCAGCCTCCTGTCAAATAGGTACCTTTCTCAGAATTTAAGCAGTCAGGGTGTGAAGTTGGCCACTCGTCTCCATCTAGTGTCAAAGTTAAGAATGCTTGGAGCTATAACTCCCCTCTTCCATATGTCTTCATAGCATGGTAGTTAATTAATTAAGCAGAAGGAAAGCTGTTACCCTACCTTGTTTGATTAAGTACATATGTTTTACCATCTGTGAAATACAGTGCTAGTCATTTGTAATATGGGGAAGAGAGTTAAACTTCAAATTATATTTCTTAAATGATCCTGATTGGATAAATGTGTAATGTGGTTAAGTGCATGACTGTTAATTTCTTATGACATCTGCTTTATAGAACGAGAGATAAGAAAAATTTGTTTTGTTAAGGGTCTAGTAAATTACTGTGTTTCAAGTTAATAAATGGTTTATCACCTGTACTGAAATTTTATCTCTCTGTCTTTATACATAGACCATTCTTCCCCATTAAAATACAAAATATGAGGGTCTTACTGAAAGTCATGAGCAACAATTTTTTGTAAAGTAAGATGCTTTATTATTGACAAACCAAATACACCACCTCAATCTACAGACCTTTCTTTATTTTTCCACATAATCGCCACTTCTTTGTACACATTCCTCCCAGCGTTCTGGGAGTTTGAAAATTCCCTTCCAGTCATCTGAAGACACTGACACACTGCTTTCTGAATTGCCTCCCTTGTCTCAAAATGTTGTCCACGCAGCTGATCCTTCACAAATCCGAAAAGATGGTAATTGGAGGGTGCCAGATCGGGGCTATAGGAGGGGTGTGGAAGAACGTCTCACTCCATCTTTGCAATTGCTTCCAATGTGAAGCAAGCGACATGGGGGTGAGCGTTGTCATGCAGGATGATGTTTTGTCCCAGACGTTTATCGCGCAATGCACAACGGAGCTTGTGCAGCGTCTGGACATAACAAGCAGCATTAATGGTTTGCCCAGGTTCCACGAATTCGGCCAGAATAAATCCGTCTGCATCCCAGAAGACTGTGCCCATCACCTTCGCAGCTGATAGCACTGTCTTTGCTTTCTTTTTTGATGGAGAATGCAAATGGTGCCATTCCATACTCTGCCGTTTCGTTTCAGGCTCAAAATGGTGAAACCAGCTTTCGTCACTTGTCACAATACAGAGCAAAAATCATCGCCTTCGTGTCGATATCTCTGCAGCACTTCTGAGGTGATGGCTTTTCACTGACCTTTGTGGTCTTTGGCCAATAACCGCGGGACCAAACGAGCACAAACTTTTCTGTAGTCCAAGCTTTCAATCATCTCCTGTACTGCACTGTGCCCTATTCCAAGTTTTTGGGCTATTGTGTCCACAGTCACACTCCTGTCATCTTGAATGATCTCATCCACTCTGAGGCTCAATTTCGATGCTGGTGTTCCCATCTTTAAAATGTGTCACCCATCTTCGAACACTGCTCACACCCATGCACACACTTCCATAAGCACGCTGAAGTCTCTGGTGAATGTCTGCAGCAGGGATTTCCTCTTTCACAAGAAATTCGATGACAGCATGCTGGTGAAACGACATATGGTTGTCGGCCTTTTTGTTAGGAGTGATACTGGTCACATGATGCAAGCTATTGATGTCACAAGACACTCAAGGTTAACACAACAGCTGGTTCCACCTACCACCATACTCTCTTTCGTCTGCTGTTCCCTGACTGCATGCAAAAGAAAGTTGGTCATGAGTTTCAGTATGACCTACGTAGGTAGGTTAGTAATACAAAGTGAAGAATGAACGCCCTGAACTGTGGTAAGAGTCTAATGTTTCCTTTTAATAAAAACTGCAGGGTTATGCTTGATCTTGGCTTTTTGAATGTGGATCTAGTAGTACGGTGATTCATGCTTTTCACATAGTGTCACTAGAGCAGGCATGTCAGACTCAACTTGTACAGAGGGCCACCTCAGTCCTATAAATAATAGTCCAGGGCTGCACTTCAAAATAGAAATATACATTAGATTTTGATACAAGGAAATTTAATTCTATTTATTATTTAGGAATAATTTCAATATAATTACCTAAAGTCACATATCTTATAATTTTAAAAAGCAAGAGAATACCATTTTTGACAAGTATCAAACAACTTCTCAATATATAAAAAGAGAAATTACACAAGAAATTATGTTAGAAATAGCAAAACATTGAATTAATAACATCAAAATTACATGTGTCGAACTTCATAAACTGTTAACTTGGAAGACAAAAAACCAACAACTATATTGTTTCACTTTAATATCGTTAGTAATATTATTCATGAATGAATTAAATTACCAGTTCAATGTTTTTTTGTCTATTAAGTCGCATGTTTAATCGGTTTGTTATTAATTCAATGCAGTCATTCAGTGTGTTTTTCTTGAAATATTCAAATGGTGATGATTGATGAAAAACTACATAAACAATAAAAATTGCTACATAACCAAAAGAACATTTATTGAACTACTTACATTGTACTTGAGAACTGGCATCTTTTCCGGGATACAAGAGAGTTAATGTCAGGTACTTGACTCTGTGAAGATGCTATTTTTAGGATGGAAGATAAATGTTCTGCTGTGAGTCTTGATCTGTGAGTGGTTTTGGTTGCCTTCACATGCGAAAGTAACTGTTCACAGAGGTAGGTGGAAGCAAACATGGCCAGTATTCTTGCAGCAAACTGGCGCATTTTAGAGTACTGGCTTGGCAAATAAGAAAAAATTGAGGGATACCAATTTCATTATATTTGTCTTTCAGTATTGAATCACACTGCATTTCAGTTAGTTCCATTTGAATGTTACTATCTGCCTTCTGAACATCGAATGAGAATGGAGCAGTAAACAGAGAGAAATCATTCTCGCAGGATTTGAAATCTTTAAACCTATTTTCAAAGTCATTAATTAAGTCCTTTATTTGGGAAACATAACTTGTAAAATCAGAATTACTGTGGGACTTTTTGAAATCCTGGCAAGTAGGAAAATGAATTAAGTTGCCATTCTTCATCTGTCCTTCCCAAAGTTTGAGCTTTAATTTAAAAACCTTAATACTGTCATGCAATGAAACTACAAGCTGTCTTTTCCCTTGTAGCTTTAAATTTAAGTCATTTAAATGCCAGGTAATGTCCACCATAAAGGCCAAATCCTGAACCCAATTATCGTCACAAAGTTTGTTGGTGATTCACCTTTCATTTAAAAAAAATCTTAATTTCTTCTCGAAGAAGCCAAAAGTGCTTTAAAACACTATAACACGAAAGCCAGTGAACTTCTGCGTAGTACGGTAGACTCTCAAATTCACATCCAATGTCACTAATTAAAGAAGAAAACTGACGTTGATTCAGTCCCCGAGATCGAATAAAATTTACTGCTTTCTTCAGAAATTGCAACACATGATTCATTTTTATGATCTTTGAGCACAGAACTTCTTGGTGAATGATTCAGTGAATATGGTGAAACTTACAACTAGGACAGACTTCTTTCTGCTTGGCCATTAACTTAGCAACAAATCCGTTCTCTTTCCCCTTCATAGGAGGAGCCCCATCCGTTGCTACACACAAGTTTCGATAACGTGAGATTGTACTTTTCTAAGAGCCCATACACTTCGTTAAAGATATCCTCACCAGTTGTTGTGTTTTTAAGAGAAATTATGTCTAGTAACTCCTCAGTTATAATTAAGTCAGTATCACAGGCCCGGATAAACACAGCTAATTGTGCCACACCACTAACATCTGCACTTTCATCACTGCAATAAGAAAATGCCGTGAAACTTTTAACTTTTGCCAACAACTGTTCACTTAAATTAGTTGCAATATCATCAACTCTTTCGGCAACATTGTTTCATGACAAGGAAATGTTTTTGAAAATTTGAACCTTATCGGGGCATACAATTTCTATGGTTTTTTCAAGACACTCTTTTACAAATTCACTTTCGCTAAAACATTTAGAATTCTTTGCTATAAGTTCTGCAGTTACATAGCTTGCTTTAACAACGGCTTCATTGTCTCGTTTCACGTTCCTAAACAAAGACTGTTGCTTGATGAGTGCAGCCTTAAAATCCCTTAATTTATCATCCCTTGACTTTTCCTTACACTCGTAAACAAAGACTGTTGCTTGATGAGTGCAGCCTTAAAATCCCTTAATTTATCATCCCTTGACTTTTCCTTACACTCGTAAACAAAGACTGTTGCTTGATGAGTGCAGCCTTAAAATCCCTTAATTTATCTTCCCTTGACTTTTCCTTACACTGGTCATATTTTTCACGATGGGTTTCGTAATGCCGTCGTACATTGTACTCTTGGAACACGTATATTTTTCCTACAAATCAAACATGTAATCTTACCTTCTATTTCACAACAAAAATAAGCGATTTCCCATTTTTCTTGACAAATACGGCGTTCACTTTCAATAGTTCTTTTTTTGCTACTTAATTTTTTGAAAGCGACATTGTTGCTGTTTAATTATAACCTTTATACACGTTCATCACAATGTAACATCAGCACCTGTCGCTGTGTGAAAATGAACTGAATGACAAAGTTTGCTAGCAGCCCATTAGACAATGGCTGGGGTTTGCAAGCTAGTTTTGAAGGTAGAAATCCCTTGCGCTTGTCTGTCAGTTGCCACCCTTTTTCCATTCTTAGTATGCCTCCAAAAGGGATTCTTGGAAATACTTGGGGTGGTGAGGCTGTGCAGATTTTAGTGCATTAACCTTCTGAAATACAGTAGTTTGTCCTTCACGAACTTTACAAACTGTTAGTTGGACAAACCCTTCTGCAATTCTC